ACTATCATAAATAAATAAATAAATAAATAAATAAATAAATAAATAAACAGAAACAAGAAGGTAAAAATACAAAGTTCAGGGTCATTTAGTATCGGAGCAGAGAATGCCACACACTCAAAAGCCCATAAAAGCATCATTTTTTTAAAGAACAGACCAATATTGAAATAATCTGTTTAGGAAAATTTCCATCCAAACTAATAATTTTTTAAAGTTTTTCTGCTTAAAGGTTGAATCATATTTATCTGAAAGAAGACAAGAGCTTGTTAGAACCACTAATCCCCCACTGAGAATTTTATACATCTTGGATTTTACTCTACACGTGCTAAAAAGTGTTGTTCTGAGCCACTTGGAACTCAGGGGTCACATTATAAATAGTGACTACGTTCCAAGGATAATCCACAAAAGCCCACTTGACCCCAAATGGACCTGAAGGCTGGTGGGAACTATGGTGACAGGGATTGGGACTCTAGGCAGTGTCTACCCATTGGAAGGTGGAACATTATCCCACAGGACAGACCCATGTCATCTGACTCAGACCAAGGAGGTACTTTTTAAAGCCATGCTCTAGGGAACATGCTGCCCCATTAGCTGCCTGCCCATCTCTGGACAATGCAAACTGAGGATGGCTGACAACCCAGGCTGGAAAACAGACACCACATCAGGTGGGAAGCTCGAAGAGATGACCTTTAAGATCTCCAGTACTGTTTTTCATTTCCCCAGCTCCCAGTGGGTTCCGAGGGCTCAGAGATAGTAGGAATGGTGGCTATTCTGTCTATAATTTTCTCAGTCACCACAGATCTCCATCACTGAAGCACTTGACAATAGGCATAGTCCCACAGCTAGGGTGGTACCTCCTTGCTGCATCACTGCTGATACCAGTTTCCTCACTGCCCATCCTGCTGCTGCCTAAAATCCCCAAGCAATGGGGCACCTGGCTGGTGCACTCGGTTTAGCAACCCACTCTTCATTTTGGCTCAGGTCACGATCTCAGGGTTGTGAGTTCAAGCCCCACATCAGAGTCCACGCTGAGCACAAAGTCTGCTTGTATTTCTCTCTCCCTCTGCCCCTCTCCCACTAACATAAATAAATAAATAAATAAATAAATAAATAATAAATAAATTAATTAATTAATTAAAATTAAATGAAATCCCCAAGCAATGGCCCAAGGATGCCACCACCAATGAAAGCAAGAACGAGCAGGACACCTTGATGGCCTTGGTTGGGTAATGAGATGTGTACACAATTACCAAGCTTCCCTGGCATAGTCTTGGATTTTGACTTCAACATCTTACATTTTCCAAAAGCTACCTTTGTTCAAGAAGACTTCTCTAAGGGTCTTCCTGGTTGAAATTTAGTGAATGTTTCCTTAGAGTATTGAGCAGGTTCTTACACCTCCTTTATAGTACCTCTTCCATTCTCCATTATATTATAGTTATTTGTGGGCAAATCTTATCTCTATAGGCTATAGGAAATAGGAAATAGGAAATCCTATAAGTCAGGATCTATGAAAGTCAGGAGAAATTAGCTCTCTCCATCTGGGAGCTAACAGTTCGGTTGGAGTAATTGGATAACTGCACCAAGGGTGGGTTTCAGAGGTAGCAGCTTTCATTCAACCTTCATTCATTCATATAGAGTATGTATAAGGTGTCTGTTGTGTGTCTATTATGTGTTGGACATTGATTTCAAATCTTGAAATGGGTATAAGGTGAATGAATGTTATACAAAGACTTTATCCAGGGCACCTGGATGTCTCAGTGGTTGACGTCTGCCTTCAGCTCAGGTCATGATCTTGAGATCCTGGGATCGAGTCCCACATCAGGCTTCCTGCAGGAAGCATGCTTCTCCCTTTGCCTCTCTCTATGTATCTCTTATGAATAAATAAATAAAATCTTTTTTTTTAGTCTTTATCCTCCAGAATGCACTATTTAATAATGGAGGCTATCATCTCCTCTGATCCTCAACATCAATTCAGAGGCAGAACTTAGAGTCAGGACATGTCTAGTCACCCAAAAGAGCTATAACTCTGTAACTGACCATCTGGAGGAAGAGTGGCAAGTTCCTATTTTATGCCTCTTGACTTTGGATATTCCAACAAACATGAGGGTATGATGACTTTATTTAAGTCTATAGAGAAAAGGTAGGGACAAACCACAGGAAGTGTCACTGTTCCTGCCCATGGAGGAATTGGAGAGAGAAGACTGGCACCAGAAGTGAGGATAGAAAGTATGAGGAAAAGTAGACCGTATGCTATATCTTATAGAGGACAGGAACATGGAACATGGAGTGGGGCTGGCCAGCTCTGAATCCCAACTTGGCCATTCACTCTCTGGGTGACCTTGAGCAGTTGCTTAACCTCTCTGTGTCTCAATTTCCTCATTTGTGAAATAGAAATAATGATAATACCTTTCTTATACACTTATGGTGAGGATTTAGAGAGTTAATGCAGGTAAAGGGCTCAGAGCAGTGTCAGTAGTGTGAGTTGTTACATTATTATCATTACTGTGCTGGAGCCTGGACTGAGAGTAGGTCAGAACTTGGGTGGGACAATCTCACCTATATCAGTCAGGTCAGTCCCTTCACTATAGAGACACAAAGCCAGCCTCTTAACCCCATGACCAACACTTCCTAGAGAATGTAGGCTGTTAATCTAGTGAACAAATGAATTTCCAAATCCCTCCAATCTCAACAGAGAGGCTTCACTAGACATGTGAATGCAGTATTCCCAGCTACACACATGCTGATGGGAGTATCCATTAGCATTGTGTTTTTGGAAGGCCACTAGGCAGCATGGGCTAAATTTAAAATGCACACCCTCTGACCCAGCAACTACATGGCTCCAAGTTTACCCAAGGAACTTCCTGTGAGAACAAAGGTGGTATATCAAGGACTTTCACTGAGTCTTTTCATTTGGAATATAGAAAAAACTCAGAAATAAGCTAAATGCCCATCAAGAGGGAAATACTAAACTGTGATATATTCATATATTGGAATACCATGAAGCATGAAAAGCATGAGATGTGTCTAGATTGACTGGCATGGAAGGATGTACATAATAATAAATTATGGGGTAAACTGTGCCCTGCCCCCCAGATTTATATGTTGAAGCTCCAACCCCCAATACCTCCGAATGTGATTATATTTGAGGATAGTCACTTTAAAAGAGGTAATTCAGGTAAAACAAAGTCTTTAGGGTAGGTCCTAATCCATCATGACTGGTATTGTAAGAAGATATTAGGGCACAGACACACAGATTCCATGTGAAAACACAGGGAGATGGCGGGCATCTACAAGCCAAGGAAAGAGGTCTTATAAAACACCTCCCAACGCCTTGGTCTTAGACTTCTGGCCTCCAGAATTGTGAGAAAACCCATTTCTATTGCTTGAGTCACCCAGTCTGTGGTACTTGGTTGCAGTAGCTCTAGCAAACTAATACACAATATACAATATTTTCGATGGGTGTGGATAGATGCATGTAACAAATGGAAAATGGAATGGAAGGGTCCACCCTAGTCTGATAACAGTGGTTGTCATTAGGAGGAATTGGGGTTAAAAGATACAGATGCAGTGAACCCAGGGCACCTGTACCCCGATGTTTATAGCAGCAATGTCCACAATAGCCAAACTGTGGAAGGAGCCTCGGTGTCCCTCAAAAGATGAATGGATAAAGAAGATGTGGTTTATGTATACAATGGAATATTCCTCAGCCATTAGAAACGACAAATACCCACCATTTGCTTCAACGTGGTTGGAACTGGAGGGTATTATGCTGAGTTAAGTAAGTCAATCAGAGAAGGACAAACATTATATGGTCTCATTCATTTGGGGAATATAAAAAATAGTGAAAGGTAATAAAGGGGAAAGGAGAAAAAATGAGTGGGAAATATCAGAGAGGGAGACAGAACATGAGAGCCTCCTAACTCTGGGAAATGAACAAGGGGTGGTGGAAAGGGAGGTGGACGGGGGTTGGGGGTGACTGGGTGACAGGCACTGAGGGGGGCACTTGATGGGATGAGCACTGGGTGTTATTCTATATGTTGGCAAATTGAACTCCAATAAAAATATATATATATATATATATATATATATATATATATATATATATATATATATATAATTTTTTAAAAAGGAGGAAATGGGGTTAGGATTGAGGGTAGTAGCTGAAGGGGATTATAACCTTAAAAATAAGGTTTTAATTTTTACAATGAGAAAGCACTCATAGGTTCTTTGTATATCAGTTTTTAAAAACCCTTCTTCATGGCACTCCATTACATCCAGTATGCAATATACTTCACACCCAGATGCAACAATCTTTAGAACTTCATTCCACATCCACTCCCATCCCACAACTCTTGAACACCTGTTTGCCACACCAGAGTTTCCCATCCCTCTGAAGCCTCCATGCCTCTGTCTGTGCCCTCTGCCTAGAATGCCTTCTCCTCCTTTTTAAGCCTGGGTTGTTGATTTTAATCCTTCAGAACCTAGCTCCAATGTCACTCACTTTATAAATAGGTTGACAAAAGTCTTACTTGACAGATTTTTCCTGAGCCATACTTCTCTGTTCTTTTGATGTCTTATTTTCATGTGTGTTCCCAGCGCCTATCAGTGCCTATAGGCAAGTAAATGCTCAATAAATAGTTCTAAATGCATAGATGATAGGAATGTTTCTGGGAAGTTGCTTTTTCAATCCAGGGTATCTCAAAGGCCCAACATTTCATTCTGTGTGTGTTAACTCAGATTCCCTAGAGACTAGCACTGCAATCATGACATGAGCGAGGTCCAGTCTTTGACTCTTTATTTAATACAACAGGGAAAAGTTGATTTCTGGGCCAGCCAAGCCCCATTTGCTTTCAATTCTAGTGAAATCAGCTGAGAATGTATTGCAATTTATTTTATTCAAGTTCTGTGCACATAAAGGTCTTCAATTACTTAACCTACAATGGACCCAAATCAAAAATGCTTATTGACTTCTGACTAAGAGGCTGTGATAACGCGGGTCTTACCTCTTCATTGGCTTGGGTGAGCATTCTCTCTCCAGATTGGAGGATGTGTGTTTCACATGCATTGCATTGTAGGAAGTGTGAGTATAGTCATTCTCGTCACTGTAGTCTGGACCAAGTAATGTCCGAGCCCAAGTTCCCATGTCATAAGGAGGAAGGGTTCCTCCAAATTCCGAGGGCAAAAATTCAGGGTGGATTAGCTGGTGAAGGCTGTTTAAGTTGTTTCCGTGCAGGAAAATCTGGAAAGGAAAACATAATTATCAACAAAAAATCCAAAACATACGAACAACTATTTAGCCTAATACACAATTTAGCAATGACAAATTGGATGCGCTGCTGGTGATCATGGTGTTTAAAGAGGCATTCAATTTTGTGTCTGCAGCTTAATCTTCATAAAATGTTAATTTACTGCTCAGAAAAGGGGCTGAATTAATAGTCCTTAAAAAATGAAGTTTATGAACAAATTGGGTATTATTTGGCCATGGCCCAATTTTACACATATAGTAATCTCCTAATTATCCCTGCTGATAAAAAGGGTAGTGATGTAGACCAAGCAAACTCACAATCATGTCCCACATGCATCCCCACATTATTCTGTGGCTAACACCCCCCTCAAGGGCTTTCCGCCCTCTGTACCTCCTCCATCTCCCCATCCTTTCCAGGCCTTTGCCAAGCAACAGCCTTTTCCTTAATCTTTCTCAGAGACACCTGCACTCTCTGGGTCTCCTCTCTGCTGCCCCCAATTAACTATTATTTGCTGACTTCTAATTCTTCTGATTTGTTCATTTACATCTTACTTGCCCACAGGAAGAAAAGAACACTCAGGAAAAGGGATGATGTTTTCTTACTCTTTTAATACATTCCCAGCTCCCAGGATGATATGGGCACAAGATAAAAACCCCACTGATACATAGAGGAACTGAAAACTATGGCCTGAGAACTTAGGAAGATTTTTACAGCCATCTTCCATTTATGGCTGGATTGAGGGCTAACACCCAAATAAGTTTGCATCTTCTAAACACATAATGGATGGTGATGGAAACTGGCCAAACAGGGGAGAAAACATCCCCAAATTACAATTATTTTTAGACAAATCCACAAAGTGGTTAAGCCATAAGTCAATAATTATACCATTTCCTACAATTTAGGAATTGACTTCTGAAAATCTATTTAAAGTCCATCTGTGGAATGATATCAGTTCCCACACTTCTTCCTATTGCAGGCTCAACTCACAGAAGTTATACCCAAGTGAAGGACTAGTGATTATACATACACAGGTATACATATACACACCACTCTGCAACGTAAATGTGATTTTTAAAAATACTTAAAAATAGGGGCACCTGGGTGGCTCAGCCAGTTAAGTGTCTGCCTTCAGCTCAGGCCATGATCCCGGGGTCCTGGGATCAAGTCCCATGTGGGCTCCCTGCTCAGCAGAGAGTCTGCTTTTTCCTCTCCCTCTGCACCTCCACCCTACTCATGCTTGCTCACTCTCTCTCAAATAAATAAATAAAATCTTTAAAAATAATAATAATAACAAATATAGTATAATAATATACCATAAAATTGTATCAATTATGCTATATACTATATATTATAATATACTATGTAATTATGTTGTTCCATTGTATTGATTTTAACTTATGATGTAATGCCATCATTTATAAAGGAAAGGAACAAGAAGCTAAATGCTAAAATTCTTCAGAAGAATACCGTAGCACTTCAGAAAACTATATTTTCTGACATTGGATCTCAATTTTAATTAGAATTATTGCTTTTGAAGAAATGTATGTGTTCTGGCTTTTGCAAAGCACCTTTCAGGAGAAACTGTAGTATTTGAAGCATGGAAAAGCTGGAGATAAATATTAGCCCTGGTGTTTAGAGCAAATATTTGTACCTACTTGCCAATACATCCAGTTCTTTTTTTAAAAAAAAAAATTTGTACTATCAATTTTATTTGTAATATTTATTTCTTCTCTTGCAAGTTTTTTGTTTAAATACTTTCTTTTTATTTATTTATATGATAGTCACACACAGAGAGAGAAGCAGAGACACAGGCAGAGGGAGAAGCAGGCTCCATGCACCGGGAGCCCGACGTGGGATTCGATCCCGGGTCTCCAGGATCGCGCCCTGGGCCAAAGGCAGGCGCTAAACCGCGGCGCCACCCAGGGATCCCCTCTTGCAAGTTTTTATCTAAATTTCAGTTAGTTAACATATAGTGTAATATTAGTTTCCAGAATAGAATTCAGTGATTCATCACTTACATATAATGCCCTAGTGCTCATCACAAGCGCCCTCCTTGATACCCATCACCCATTTAGCTCAGCCCTCACCCCTCTCCCTTCCAGCAACCCTCAGTTTGTTTTCTATAGTTAAGAGTCTGTTTTGTGGTTTGCCTCTCTCTTTTTCCCCCATGTTTATCTGTTTTGTTCTTTAAATTCCACATTTGAGTGAATTCATAATGTATGTATCTTTCTCTGATTGACTTATTTGGCTTAGCATAATATACTCCAGCTCCATCCATATCATTATAAATGGCAAGATTTCATTCTTCTTGATGGCTGAGTAATATTCCACTGTATATACTGTGGAACCCAGGAAATTTGACAAAAATCCCCTACCCCTGGACAAGCAGAGCAGGACTAACTCCATTTTGTGCTGCACCTGCCACCTCCTGTATTGCCCCCACATGACCTGCTTATTGCTTAGGGCGCTGCCCCACCCTAGTCAAGCTGCTGGGCACACCCTGACCGGAAATCGGCTCAGTGATAGGCCAGTTCAAATGGATACTTTAGGGTAAAATGTAATTCAATCGGCCACCTGTGTGTGGACTGACATGACTGTGCAGCTTTCTGCGTATCCCATTGGCCACTGGCCCCTATAAAGCTGCTATGCCTCTTAGTTTCAGGGCCCAAGTCCCTGCTCCACTGTCGGTATACTTGGACCCAAGCTCGAGCTTGTAAATAAACCCTGGTGTGTTTGAATAAACCCTGGTGTGTTTGCATCTGTGTGGGCTCCTCGGTGGTTTCTCGGATTTGCAATCTCGGGCACAACATATACAGAAACTACATCTTCTTTATCCATTCATCAATCAATGGACATTTGGGCTCTTTCCATAATTTAGGTATTGTTGACAATGCTGCTATAAACATTGGGGTGCATGTGTCCCTTTGAATCAGTATTTTAGTAGCCTCTGGTGTAAATACCTAGTAGGGCAATTGTTGGGTCTTAAAGTAGCTCTATTCTCAACTTTTTGAGGAACCTCTGTACTGTTTTCCAGAGTGGCTGCACCAGTTTGCATTCTCACTGAGAGCCAACATCTCCAGTGTTTAAAGGATAAGCAGTGCTGTGGAAATTTGCCCTCTCTCCTGGGGTGCTGTGGGATGAAAGAACTCAGCATATAGGAGACTGGACTCTTCACCTATCCGATTCTGTTTGGCACCCAGAGCTCCAGAAACTCCCTTGTATGGCACAGCAGCAACTATCAACTGCTTTGTGGGAGGAATTTCACTAGCTTCTTTCTGAGTAGAAGATGCAGCCACTGGGAAGCCCGAAGCCATATTGGGAACAGTCTCAGACACTTCTCTGTCCTTAGCACTGCCCCAAGTATTCAACAGATTGCAAAATGCTGCCAAATGTCTCTGCCTCCTTAGGGTGATGAGTTTTAGTTCTCAGTTCCACCCTTGTTAGGGGACAAAAGAATTACCCCTGCCATGCCTTGCTGCAATGTTTCCTGAGGATCTAGAAGTATCTGAGGTTAGGAGTTAGGGATACCTCATAGTGTGTGTGCAGGGGTGGAGGGGCTGACATCATCATTCCCCCCTGCGTACTCAGACTCTTCTCCAGCATGGGATCCCCTGGGTATAGGGGCATATGTAACTAACACCCAGATCACTGAGCTGTTGGGTAGTTTGTTGTTGTTGTTAAGAATGATCCTAGTCAGATTCCCTTGAGAGGTGGGACACTTGACCCTGCAGGTAACTGAAATCAGAAAGTTTGAAAGAAAGGCAGCTAAATGGTAAAGAAAATGAGTCACTGAGTCTCTACCACATGAGTAGCATTATACTACCTGCTTGCAGATGTTGCCTCTTTAAATTTCCCAACAGCTCAGAGATGTGGGTGTTAGTCTCCCGGTCTTCTAAATGAGGAGACTGAGATTCAGGGAGTGGTGGAACAATGTTCAGTCTCTCAGCTAATCAGAATGCCATGAAAAACCCCGGGCCCTGATGGAAGGTGCTGGCCTCCCAAATGTCATCAGCTGATGCAATTAAGACTTTAAAAGCCTTCTTCCTAAGAGCATTATTATTTCTTGAAGAATGCTTTCCCAGCCTCAAAGGTGATGGAGCTGGCAGCCATGACCCAAGAGCCGTGGGGAAGAAAAACAAATGGTAAACATTCTTCATCACAATAATACATTTGCAGGACAAAATGCTAGCTATTAAAATATGCCATGAACGGGAAGCTGCTTGACCCCATATCTCCCTAGAGCATTTACAGTAAAATGGGCATCTGGTATTTGCATGCCTTCAAAGTTTCCTTTGGTTTGTCACTGGCACTCTGAAAATAACCCCGTTCTACTAAATTATTGATTAAAACCAGGCCATTTGCAAACTCCAGCTGAGGCTCAAACGCTCAGGGAGTGCAGAGAAGCAGAGAAAGCCCACAGTGCAAAATAAGTAGAGAAGGAAACAGAAAGGGAGGGAAGGGAGGCAGAGAGGTGGAGAGGAGGTAGGGTCTTTGTTCCTCCACACACCCCCATTGGGTGTTTTCATTACCCGCTTCCTGGTCTTGTCTTTAAGGAATGGCTTGATGAGCGTGTACAGGGCATGGATGTACCAGGGTTGGTTGACAAAATGGACTCCTCCAAAGCGGGCAGGAAAGCTGTCCTGGGGCAGAAAGAGAGAAATGCACACTGGTTAGCATATGTTCCAGATTGGATTGGACCCACACGACTGTAACACCGAGGAGAACAGTTTCTTCTCTCTGATTGAAGCACTAGCTAATAGTAAGAAAGCAAGCAAGCATGCAACCTTCCCAGCTGTTAATGTTTCCTCTATTCCCCTTGCCTCCTTCCAACACCCCTTTGACTCCATTACTTAAAAATTGTGCGTAGGAAAAAAAACAACAAAAAAAAAAAAAAGAAAAAAAAATTGTGCGTAGGTGCCATCTCTGTCTTTCACAAGTCACAATGATACGACCTTTGACGTGGCTCAGGAGGGTGCAAGACCCAGATAGTGAGGGAGTCGGAATTCATCCACGTGTCAGGTAACCAAAGTGCCAGTTCTCACAAGGCCTAAGCGTGTACTCACTCTTCTACCCTCATAATCTGCCCGCCAGCTACAACCATCTCTGCTGGCATCATCATGACAGCAGCTGAACTTTCTGGGCATAGGAAGGGATTAGAAATTGATTTCAAAGGATCTGAAGAGATGGAGCTCTCTGGAATCCACCACTGTCTGTCAGCATTTGCTGGTGACAAATTCTAGAGCTAGCTCCCTCTTTCATCCTGGGACCCACACAGTAGGGTCCAGGGAAGAGACACTTGTTGATTGATGGGCTAGCTGGTTTCCCTAACTAAGGAAATTGCGCCTCCTTTTCTGCAGATCAATATATTTTGTATATATCAGAAAATGAGAGCATCTTTCAAATGCTTCCAATTTTAGAATCCAGATCAGGGCACAAGCTCATTTTTTAGAAAAACCGAGAAGCTGTTCTCTATGCTAATTATCCACAAAATAAGAGCCCTGGACCATGAAGTCTGAGCTAGTCCCACAGCAACAGGACTTGAATTCTTGATGGAGGGCTTCCACAGACTGCATTGCATTCATCTTGGTTAATGGAATTAAAAACGAAGGAACACCGAATGCAATTTGAATTGCCAAGCGTGCTGCCAATCAATTTCATTGCAACAAACATCTTTATAAAATGTAAGCAAGAAGAGATGAAAGCAGAAGGAGCCTAGCTGCCTGAGCTAACAGTTCAGTCAGCAGGCTGATCCCTGAGGGTGTATGAAATGCCTTGCCTGGCTCTTTTTTAGTAACAAGGCAAAAGGGTTATTAATTTTTTTTTCAGAGCCCTGTGAGTCTACAGGATCCCTGGCCATCTTCCATCCTAAGACCTAGTTACCAATATAAGTACATGAACTATACATAAGGACTGACATTTTAAACTTAAAAATGATTTTTTGCCTCTATCTAGACATTTTACGGACTACAAAGGAATTGCATATTTTGAAGATAAACCAGATAATTTGATTAAAAGTCCTTGTTTGGGCAGCCCAGGTGGCTCAGCGGTTTAGCGTCGCCTTCGGCCCAAGGGCATGATCCTGGAGACCCGGGATCGAGTCCCACATCGGGCTCCCTGCATGGAGCCTGCTTCTCTCTCTGCCTGTGTCTCGGCCTTTCTCTCTCTCTGTGTCTCTCGTGAATGAATAAATAAAATCTTAAAAAAAAGTCCTTGTTTTGGAGAGTATATGGTTTTTATTTTATTTATTTTATTTTTAAAAACCAAATGAAACCACTAGGTAAGGGTAGAGAGGCTGTTTATACTAGTTTGTACATGTGTTATAATCTCTCACCATTCCAAATCTGATTTTAGATACATTAAAGTTTTTGATAAGGCTATCTTTCCTCTTTTAGGTAGTTTGGGATCTAAAAATTCTTCAATGCCTTTAAAAAAAAAAAAATCATTCCCCAAAGTTTTCCCTCAACATAAGTGCTAAACACTAACCTCACTCTTTTTGGTCTTTTTGAACTTTTTATTCAGAAATATAACTCATTTTTCCCCACTAAGTGTGGGTTCTGAAGGACTCTAGAAGAAGAGATGAGTACTATAAAGGGTTTATCTATAAAGCCAGGGCTTTACTATCCTTTTCTAACAGAACCAATAACAGGGTTGTTATTTCTATTGAGAGCCTATTGTGTTATACATTTCTAGGTTAGTAAAGTGGAAAAAAACTCGAAATAATACTCTAGAGACAGTAGGTAGAATCTCAAAGAAAATATTAGCCTTTTAAAAATGTCTTGAGACTGTTAGTTTTAGTCTATGGAAAACTCAATCATCAAAGACATCAGAACTGCTTCAATTTGCGTCAGGGAGGTTGAGAGAAAAGACACAGGGCTGAGACCCAGTCAGTTCTCTCTAGGTTGGCCCTGGTTCCCAGTCTGCCAACTTGAAGGCATGGGATTTTATTGATCTCATCCAGGTCAGCCAGCAACTAAGTACAGATACACGCATGCAAAATCCTGTGCCTCAGAGGTCTGGGTTTGGGCCAGAGTAGAAACAAGGTCACTTTTCTTCAGGTCTCTCTAAAAAATTCAAATGAAAAGCACTCTTGTCTAATAAAGACAACGTGCAAATGTTCTGGTATTCTCAAATGAGCCTGCCCATACTATTAATAATGGAGTGTGTGTGTGTGTGTGTGTGTGACAAGGGAAAGATGAAGGAAGGAAAAATTAGCAAACACAACCCTCTTAAAAGCAAGGCCAGCATGGGTGGTGGTGTTGCCTGGTCTCATTAGCAAAAGACAGATACAGGGGAAGCAAACCACAGATAAAGGGGAGATGTCTCCTAAGACCCCGAGGGGTTCACTACCCTATGGAAATGCATTTCTTAGTGGCTAGAGCAGACCCATCTCAAGATGGCAGGCCAGGATTCAATGACAGTGTAACACACTGTTAGAATTTTTGGTCACTAGGGAGTATGTGCTAAAATATACCCTAGGTTCAAATAAATAAATAAATAAATAAATAAATAAATAAATAAATAAATAAAATATACCCTAGGTTCAAGAAAATGATGTTAATTTCTGTATGTTTCATGCATCTGCCAATAAAAATAAAACATTTACTTCAAACTGTAAACATACAAATCATAAAATTTGTCCCTGAGGTTATTTTCCTACAACAAAAATAATACCTGTTCTAGAAAAATCAAAAATAGATTTAAAAATTTTTGGAAAAACTATAAAATTGAAAAATATGAAAAAGAAAAAAGAAAAATCATGTGTATTCCCACTGCTGAAGACATACTCCTGCTATTTTCTATCATTCAGGATAAACTACATTATAATAGCACACAACCCCTGCTTTTTATCATTTAAAACTATAAAGATTTATTTCTTGCTCACACAGAATAGAATGTCCTTGGTGGGTTGGCAGGGAGCCATGCTTGATTTGCTCTCAGCCAGAGATGCAGCCTCCCCCATCTGGAACAGTGCTTCTTGCCATAGCTAAAAGAATCACACCTTAGCTCTTAAGTTAGGCCACCAGAAAGTGACATGCTTCATCTGTCATATGTTACATACCAATCACGTGCCTGACCTCAAAGGGGTCAGTAAGTGGGATCCTACCATGTGCCTAAGTAGAGGAAAGACCAAAAGTGCAGATGTATAGCACTAAGGTCATCCAAGCACAGTTTCCTTCTTCCCTTACTCTCTTTTCCCTTCATTTCCTTCTTTTTCTTCCTTCTTTCCTTTCCAAATGGGATCACGTTTTTAAAATTGGACTTAGTAAGTATTGGCCTGCTTGATGCTGGTGATACAGTAGCAAATAATACAGATATGGCATTTACAGGGTAGTGGGGACACAGACAATGGCAATCAAGTAATGATTTGTTTAGTGTCTTTAATTCTTCGCTAAAACATCAGTGCATACCTTGCAGTTCTTCAGTTCAGCACATAATTATGATGGCAAGCACATCTTCCAAATTAGTCCTCAAGGCATTCTACTCCACATACAAAGAGTGTTACCTCTAAATCCCTGCTACCTGGAATACTGGCTTAACCACTGACCTATAAATCTGAGCTCCACTCACTCCTGTCCAGGATTCCCTTTTTGCTCTCTGAATATTCAGAGTAAGGCTATTCTCATCCATGTACCATGTTCTCCTATGATAGCTATTAAAGCATCATATAAGGATCTGATATCGAGGATGTGAAAAGTAGAATAACACTGATTTAAGATAAATGGAGGGTGAGCCTGTGACCAAGAGAGTGATGGAGTAATAAGAAATAGGTCTGAGCATACAGGGAAAATAGTTTTTAAAGGAACTGGGAAAGTCAGTTGATGGGGATAAACTCAAGTATGAAAAGGAAGGGGATGGAGAAAATTCTATTGTACATAAATCTAACAGAATAAATATTGAAGATGGGCCTTTCGTGTGGAGAATTAGAGGCTAAACCAGAGACATATAGAATCATGGATGTAGCCAGACCCTTTCAGAGTAGTACAAGGTACCTGGACGGAAGGAACAACTGTTGAGCTCAGAATTGCAGCTAATTAAAGAATCAGGGTCAGCTTCCTGGAAAAAAACTGTTATTGCCCTGATTGTCACTAACCAAAAGAGATTTGCCCTGTAGGAACTGCAGAGCTGCCAAAATCTTCCTGAGATATCACGATGCAGTGGCTAATCACCAGGTGTTCATTTGTGCCAGCATTCAGATGTAATTACTAAGTAGCATTCAGTCACCCGTATGCCAATAATGAGGATATACTCCTCTTCACCATTGGGATGCTGTCAGCAGAATGGACAATCAGAACTTTTGACTGTTACCAAGTGGTAATGAAACCACTGACACTTCATGAGTGAGACCATGCAGGAGGCCAGAACTCCTATCCCTGCCCAGTTATAATGAGGAGGTCCTTTTCTTTGGGTATCAGCAGAAGTCGAATGAGGAACCTGGATATCCACTTCCACCTGGCACACCCCACTTTTCCTGCCAGAGTGGTATCTCTACTGCCTCCACCCCCCAAATCAACTAAAACTAAAGGTTTGCATAAGATCCAGAATTTCATAACACAATGCAGAACTGTCCAAGTTGAATTAAAAAAATCACTCTTCATATCAAGAACTAGAAAAATCCCAAACTAATGAAAAATGAGGCCTA